AGGTCGAAGTTCGGATCGGATAACTTTCACCAAAAGGAATGTCGAAACATGCGACGTAAGGCTACGCGAGAACATCCGTGCGTGTTCAGAAGACTTGAGGTTGGACAACCATGGGATATTCCGAGATCTATTTATAGATTGAGGTTGTACAAAAATCTCTGGGTGAGGATTTGAAAATCTATTTATAGATGTCCTCAAAAAAGCTTATTTTTGAAGAAGCATGGTCACGTGTTTGCATGTGACTTTTTTGGTCTGTACCGTTGCTTATGTAACACTCTCATTTCCCAGACTCCGAACAGAGTTGGAACAGAGAGCATCCTGTCCGTGGTTTTAAGGAATTGGCTAGTATTTACAGCCTCACTTACGCTCTTCTCACATGGGCGTAAGCACAACCCCTTACCTTCGTGACTTCCATGAGATCTGACATGACAGCAGACTTATTTATACTTACGAGAATGGGCTGTTTCTTGGTGGCATTTATGCTTATGTGCTTCAATCGGATATTGACAACCCTGCCGCGCTCCATTGTGGAGCCCGTAATTTAAATTAGCTTGGTTTGCGCACTTATCACCTGCAGTGCCCTACGTAAAGGCCTCTGATTTTCTCATCTGCAATCTTAACTCTACTTTGGATGGCCTGGGAGGAGACGGAATTCCGGCAGAGGCATTGGTTCTAGGCTTTCGAAGTCCGGTCGGGTCCGGTTTTTGGCACGTTTTTGCGCCAACCGAGACCGCGACCGGTTGCTCAACTTACCAGGCAGAGCCGACCGACGACTGGACCGTGCAGGACCGGTCCATAGCGGTCGCATCGACATCCACAACCGGTTCTGACCGGTTGCGACCCAACTGGGTTGCGACCGGTTGCATGTCGGTCGCAACCGGTCACGACCGACGAAACGCCCACTTAGGAGCTTACAAAAACTAGCTTAAGTGTAACATATTACATTTTTTAAGTATGTACATATTGGTAGCAAGAGTCTAAGCTCCAAAGTAATAGTAGATATCTGAGTAGCGTAACTCACAATAAAAGAAGGAAGTGGGGCTGTCGTCGTCGGGCGCCCGTCGATGTGTTCGTCGAGGCCGTTGCCCGTGCGTCGTGGCTGTCGGCGGTCAAGGCACGGTCTTATGTTACGATGTGTGATGTGGTGGCCGCTGTCCGATCTTGGTGGGCGAGTGGTGACGTGGGCGACGGTTGAGAGGCGCGGTGGCAGTCGAGAAAGGCGCGGTAACGGTGGAGGGGTCGTTGTTGTAGTTGTGGGGTGTGCCAGGTGTCGTTGCGTGACGTGGGGGTCAACAGGCGTCGTGGGGTGACGTGGTGGTCAATGGCGGGCTTCGGCGGGTGACGTTGTGGTAATGGTCCGATGTGGCGGGGTCGTGGGCGAGCACTGGCGGCCTGGGCAAGATGATGATGTGGCGGGATTCGGGGCTGCATGCGAGGGATGTGGCAGGGTTCGGGCGATGTGGCGGGGTCGTGGGTGAGCACTGGCGGATAGTGGTGGGTGTGACGACATACCTGGCGGCTCTCCCCCAGCTGGGGTCTGCCCTACTCGTTTCCCCTGCTATTCCCTCGGTCTCGTCCTTCCGGGGCTGCCGCGCCGGCTTCGCGAGGTTTTGTTGAGTGCGTTGTTGGTAATGGTGCCGGGGCGATGATGCTGGGACGTGGTAGTGATGGGCAAAGGCGACACAGTGGCAAGGGTGGTGGTGGTCGGAAAGACAGCAACAACGGCTGTGGCCTTGTTTGTTGACAGTGTACCAACTTGTCGGTTCTGACCGGTCGCGACCGGTCCTGACCAGTTCGGCACGCCAGCAATTTCCGAGCAACCGCAACTGCTGGCTTCGAAAATCCGGTGCAACCGCAACCGCAAGTCCGGTTGTTTGCGGTTGCGGTCCGGTCTTTTTCCGGTCTTTTCCGGTTGGTGCAACCGGACCTCGAAAGCCTAATTGGTTCAAGACGGCCATACGACAGGCTGGTGATGAACAAGACTCGGAGCTCAAGGTTGCAATTGTGCTTGGTTGGTCCAAGACGTCTCTCACGGGCAAAGATCATGTTGTAGTGTGCTCCTCGATGACAAAAAAGGTTGACAGTCAGAATCTCAGCGTTACTTCCATCTTTGTGTTGACCCATTCACTGTGGATACTTCTTGGCTCATTTTAATATCAATTCCCCATCTTTGTATTCAATGTTCTGATCTCAGGCTGCGGTGAGGTGGGTGGGATGCACAGTCCGTGTTGTCCAAGCCCCCATATTGCCCACTGTTTTAATTTTCAGCCCACACTTGTTGCTCTCAAATCGGAGGACCTGCTTTGGAGTCATATGATTGAAGGGTCTCTTAACATTGTGCATATGTAGCCTGGTGTAATTCTTACCCCAATGGACAGTCGAAGCTTTCGTCGGGGCCGACAGCGGGCACTTCGTAGCAGGAGATGAAGCTACCGTCGAAATAGACACTTCCAGTCCCGCTCAGCCAAGTGTACTGTGAGGCATTCTTAATCTTTTCCTGCAGCCAATAAACCATTTAGCAGACGTCACATGTTGAGAGAAAGAACAGCGGTACACTCAAATGTGTCTTGGTGTGCTTCTTCGGTACACAGACTCATGACATCATCGCGTTGAGTTTGAGCCACACAATCGTAATGTTGTGCGCGACACCATCGCTCGGGATGGTGATAAGCCCTGGAAATTCAAACGTGGCACTGACATTGCCTTTGGATGAGATCGCGGTGGTAGAGTGGGGATGAGATCGCGGGGGTAGAGTGGGGTATTACTGGTGGTGCAGAATGAGCTGATTCTTTACTTCTCACAAAATCAGCAGATGCACTCAGGTATACCACGCCAGCGGAGAAGACTGGTGCTGGAGCTGGAGGCGGGACGGGAATAGCAGGCGTGGGCTTGGAGATTGAGAGATTCTAGGGGTCCAGGGTAGGCACGCTAACACCGAATGTAGGCGTTCGAGCATCAGTGAGAATCCTGTGTGGCTCAAGTTAGGTATTGTGATATTATATCAACACGTATATTGTATCCCAGGTTCCACGATGCAGATGCAACATATACCGCTGTACTTGTAATGTTAAGTAGAGCAGCAAAAAATTCAAGATACCAGACGTACCATAGATCAAAGCAATCCCCACCTCACCCTCCACCTCAGCAAAGACTCCAATAGCCACCTGGATACCAAGATGATTCTCAAGCACCCTGCCTGCCCCCAAGCTTCGTCCGTTCCTCCGCTATCTCTTCTTCGACATCAGAAAGTCCCTTCTCAAGTTCCAACACACGGTTGTCGAGCTCCCCCCCTGTCACTTCGTACTCCTCGACAACGTTCCCACCTGCATCACATCGACGTATTGAATGTGCATAGTGGTGAGGTACAACCAAGGTACAACTCAAGTGCAGTCACGGACTTCTTGCACCATTCGAGCGCTTTGAGGGTCTTGGCCTTCTTTGACTGGAGTACTGTGAGGCCACGCGACTCTGATTAGCTATATGAATAGCATGAGGTTTTCATGAATAACAAGGCCACTCACATGTATGTCAAGTTTACCATTCACCGTTGCGGGCTGTTCCTGAGTCGACAAAGAAGCCATGGCTATGCGTGTCAGGATGTGATGTGCCGATATAGGCTAGCAAGACTAAGCAAGTTATACAATGACTAGTAGTATGGGCTGCAGCAGCTAATACAGGAGGATGAAAAACAAATGCAAAAGCACAAACAGAACAGTTACACAGACTCGGAGTCAGGGTATGATTATGTAATTCATCGTCTGTACTTGGAACCCCCAGATCTAGATCTCGGCCACGCCATGCTTGCAATGGCCCATACTCGCACGTTACTTATGGTGGAAATTCAATACACACACATGTACGTACGAAAACACGTGGACGCGTCGTGCCATGAATTAGAGTGGATATTCTCTGCACAGCCGAGGAGAATGAAAAGTCTACTTTTGAATGACTACGTTCACGAGCTGTTGTCGCTGAGATTCCGAGTCGCCGACCCTTCAGAAGTGGAGTTCAGTATGATCGGCCCGCAACAGCCCGCCATTTGAAACGGATCACGAGTGTGCAGCCTCGTGTCTCCTGCCACCGACGTACTCGAGTACACAGTGACACGTCCCCGATCGCCGCTATTGACGTATTTCCAACACCCCTTGATGTCCTTACTGAAACTTCCACTACTAGCATCCGTAGCATGGGCCACGCATACGACGATGACTGCTCCCAACCCGCCTCCAAGTGCTGACGAACGTCTTCCACCCACTGGGCTCGAGCATCTCGCTACGGTCGTTCCACCCATATCCAAGGTCCGTGGGCATCAGACTGGCCAGATGCTATAGTTCGAACGCGAGCTAACGTCGAGGAATGCGACTCGACTCGTTTACGCCAGATATTCTTCTGGTCTGCAACTCTCGCTGAGATGGGGGTGATCCTCGCCAACTACCTCGACGGCACGCGCAGCTTTTCCCAGCACATCCTCCGGCTCCTCGTACGCACGGAACAACCAGAAACACCAAACCTCCGCATTACTTTCCCCTTTCTCGTCGGGTGGTCTCTAGCGCTCCTGGGTGCGCTCCTGCGGCAGCACTGCTACCGCACCCTCGGCAGACAGTTCACCTTCGAGCTCAGCATCCGCAAAGACCACCATCTCGTCACGCAGGGCCCATACGGGTATGTACGGCACCCAAGCTACGCAGGCGCCCTTATGGCGGGTGCTGGTGGATTACTATGCCTGGTGGCTCCTGGTTCGTGGTTGAGGGAATGCTCGGGTCTCGGGTTGGACGAATGGAACAAGTTGGGTGTCGTTGTCGGTGCCATCGCGGTGGGTGCCACCTTGGTTGCCCGCGCGGTGGTAGGGAGGATGGAGAGGGAGGATGCGATGCTGCGGGCGCAGTTTGGGGAGGAATGGAAGCGGTGGGTGAAGGATGTGCCTTGGAAGCTTGTTCCGTATGTATACTAGATTCGAGGCATAGATTAACTGTGAGCCCTGAGGCATAACAAAAAAGTAATTCGGGTACGGGGAATCGAACCCCGAGCTGCCGCGTATCTTTAGCAAGGGCATTTGAGAGGCGGCAATGTTAGCCGTTACACCATACCCGATGATGTATTGAATAGCCTCGAGGTGTTCTCGTGCCTGACCCGGTGCAGGAAAGTTTTATTCTATTTTTGCGATGAGTCGAACTCGAGGGCAGTTATGGAACCATCACGCCCACTTGGAGCAAAGCAGGTTTGCGATCTAACTATTGAGAGATATGCCCGCAGGAGTGAACTACTGCACCCTCCTAGCGGCTCATGCGTTCCTGAACTGCGCGATGGGCCAAGATTCAAGCCGGTCAAACAAAGTGGACGTCCGTACCAAGGACAAAATTGTGCTGCCTAACACCTGTACAACTAACAAATTACAATGTACAATCAGGCTTCAGCTCAGAGCTTCAGATCCTCAACTTTCAAGTCGAAATGCAGGTAGGTGAATATCCAAAAAAAGCAATTTCGTTGAGTTCCGGTACGGGGAATCGAACCCCGAGCTGCCGCGTGCACCTGCATGAATCTTCATGAAAGGCGGCAATGTTAGCCGTTACACCATACCGGATGCTGAGAAGCTTGTACCGATACGCTGCAGATTAACAGGATGAGGGAGCCGTGAATTCGACGGAGATTCTAGAGTACGCCTTCATACTAGTATATTTACGGCTATGCTGGGAACGAAGTACTCTTCCCTGTCTACGACCTCAAAGCACGGTCGCATAAGGGCTTTTGTACTCAATAAAAGGGTACATACTAGTCGCTCACACCTTCCGCAGAAATATCTGGGCGGCTACAGTCTCGTCACATCAGGTCCACGGGCCGATCCTGGTAGGAAACCGGCGTTTGGGGTGGTGATAGACTTGAACAGAAGGATCGACCATGACGCTTGTGCCTTTTTAAATCATATCCGAGGAGATATATCTTAAGAACTTGAGAAGACATCGTATGCGGGCCAGGCTTACACGGCCTGTCACCATGCGTGCCATGTCGAGAGAAGATGAATCAAGCTGGGTAGATCAAGAAAAATAAGGGGAGGATTTGAGGGGATCGGAGATCGGTGACGGCTGGAAACTCAACCACGTGCACGTGGCATCGGCGACACGGCTGCAGCCCGTTAACTTGTTGAACTTGCCCGTCGTCATCAACAATGATGAGCTCGACGCGACCGATGTTGAGCTCAAAAGATCCGCCAACCATTCACGACTCCCCAACGTCGCCTACCCAGTCAAACGACGGGTTTCCTACCTCTCGCGACGCCTTTACAGGTTTCAGGCTCCCCAGAGCGTCCATTACAGTTCAACAAAGCCTCCTCGACCATGAATAGACGCCAGGCCATCAACCGGAACTTCAATGTCTGATGATGATCGCTTTGCGGCACGAATTCATTGATATGGGTGAATCTCTCGTTCGTCTGCATCAACATGGCGGCAGATGGCGGCTGAACGTGTTGTTATAGGTTATATACATGTTGGGGCACGTCAGGAACGACTGGTTGGCGTGCCAACCGACTACATACCTCGACGGTTCGATTTTGAAGAGGTCCAGGTCCGCCAGCTTTCGGGGCGTCTCGTGCGTTCACAAGCGCCGGCGGAAACTCCGATGTACTTGAGGTATGCACCAACTTATTGAACAACCTTATAAAGCGGCAGCTCACCCACCTTCTGTAGGAAACGCCGGGAACCCACTTCGCCACTTTCCAGACTTCCAGCGAAGTCTCGCCGCCATCGCCCCCCAGCTCAAGCCCGAGTCGTAACCCAGCAAGGTATGTACGTCCTCTCTTTTGCCATTCACGTCCTTGACTCACGGTGCCTCCCCCACTTCTAGCTTATTCTCCTCCAGCTTTCCAAGAAGTCCCGGTCGGCAGGTAGAGGCGCCTTGGCCTCCGCTGTGCTTGGAAATGAGTCAGAGGGGCTTGATTGTGGGGCGGTGCACGTTCAAAGTTGCTGGTCGACAACCGGGGTCTTCGTGGTTGAGGGCACACGACCGGAGACTATGTGGGATGGGCATGAAGGCACGGAGGCGGTCGGGGTGTCTGCGGGATATCCTGCCGAAGTGAAGGCTTAAGGAGCGGCGGAGGAATTTGCTATTCGTCCAGGTATGCATGCCTTTCTCGTGGTTCCACTCATGCTGACTTCTCTATTTTCTAGTCAGATCATGATCCATCGCAAGAATGCTCGGGCCAGGGTTGATGGACGGGAAAAGCGGGAGACGCTAGGGTCAACATGGTTATACATGCCCGCGCGCCATGTCGGCTACAAGGCTGAAACTTTCCGGGCCCTGCTCTAGCTTCTTCACCTTCCCAGGCGCGCTTGAAGCTTGCGTAGATGGGTATATAGGAGGAGGGCAGAGAAGTTGGGATGGGTCATGCATCCGATGTTCTTTCCTGCCATCCCGCCCCATGAAGGTCCCCATGACACTTATGCTGAGAGATCTACGCCACATAGTATGGGTCGATGGCGTAGTTGGTCATCGCATCTGTCTAACATCACTATTAATGGTTCCTGTTCCACACAGAAGGTCCTCAGTTCAAACCTGGGTCGACTCATATTTTACTTCATGTCCTCTTCAGCGTTTGTTCCTAACTTTTGCGTACATGTAAATGGAGGAGAGGTGCCTTTTAGGCAAACAAAGATCAGGTTTAGAGCGCAATCTGCGTGGAATGGTCGAGGTTCATCGTGCTGGTGGCAAGCTGGTGATGCCCAGACGCCGAGGGTGTAGGAGGAACTCAGAGCGTAATTCAGCATCATGGACAAGATTATAGCTATCGGTGTCATACAATAATCAAATGGATTGCCAGCGGCAAAAATCAGTTTATCACTGCATGATCGAGCCTGGCGTCCTGCCTCACGAATGCTGCAGTCGTACTTCCTTCTCACTTAGTGATCGTTTTCATCCTGAGCTTCGGGCTGTTTCCACTGGTGCAGGAGAAAATTGACATGTGCGCGTAGCTGCAGAAATAGATGTCGAAATATCTACAGTAGTACTACTCTGCCAATGACAGCAACCGGACGCGATGATTGTCCCCTGAGTATTCACACCACAGCTCGCCCATATTCGAAGAGTCCTTCGCTTTTCTTTTCCCGTGGTACACTCGTAGCTCATCATGCAATCCGCTTGAACCACCAGGGGACGCCAGCGTAGTTGACTGCCGAGTAAATCCGCGGTTGGTCTGCGTAGCAATTGTTCACGCCAATGGATACGCAAGGCACATAGGCCCAACCAGCCGACCCGTCTGGCATCTGAACACTGATCACGGCATCTACTTCAGCTAGCTGCACCGACATAGATGGGGTCGCGAATAACTTACGTGTAATTGTCCCCACTTGAATTATTGACCTTCCAGCCAAAAGCTGTCGACGACGGCGCAACGTCAGCGCTGGAAGGTGCCACGAACGCACCTCCAACAGTGAAAGTGAAGATATTATCTGCTACCTTCGTGATCGTCCACTGAGTACGCGATGGGCGCGTTAATCAACATCTTGACCGAAACACAGAGTAACACCCACATACCAATGGGGCTATAGTACCGGGCAGCAACTCAACAACTTGCGAAGGACCACCATTAATAGACCCGAGGCCAAGCGGGCGCACGCCAGAAGCGCCGTTGTAGTAGATCTCGTAGATGCCTTGGGCGGGTTCGGCCATTGAGGTTGATTAGAGGGGAGTTGGTTGAGGGCTGGAGTCTGGATAGCGCAGCCCTTATACCCTCTGATTTCAAGCTCCACTGAATGGAAATCGGTCCGTCCGAACCAAGAAGTACCACACCGGGGAAAAGAGAACGAGGGTTTCCCCCATAAGTGATACTATCGTGCTATCTGCCGTCAAAATGTCAAGAACGGCAATGAAGAGCTATGATGGCATTGTGTAGAGAAGTGTGGTTGCTTCGCGCAGCCCTGCATCGTCGAGGCCGTCCCCCCATAAGTGAAATCACGAGGGCCAGATTACTACGGCCGTTTAAACACCGAGGCACGTCGATGAGGGGACGCGTCAGCTTGAGAGTGCTGACTGTGACTTTCATGGTCATCCCATGCCCGACCGATAGAACCCAGGAAGGGGCCGATAATCAACACACAACGCAATCTTCCTTGAAGCTCAGGTTATACATCGTCTTATCTACCGTCTTCTCGATCTTCTTCCAATCCGAGCGCCGCTGGATGAACTCGTAGATATCCTACGACACGTCCCATCAGCAAAACGGTGATCAGGACGGAAACCTAGGTATCTCACCTCAGGCCTATATGCGCCCCCGTACCGGGTGACATCCCGCACGATCTGCGCGAGGTCCTTGGCGTCTTCGACCACGTACACGTGCCCCAGCATCTTGAGGTGCGAAAAGTCGGAGACGATCGACGGGACCTGCGTAGACAGACCTCAGGATGTTTACACACTTCGAAGCTTACACATCCTTACCTTCAGCGACGAAATGAACGCGTGATACGTGTTCAAATCCGCAATGACGCGGAACCCGCCGTTGAGCGAGATAATCTGCCGCTTGATGTGCTTCTGTAGAATTCTACAAAGATCAAAGAACCAAAGCGAAACACACAATCAGGCTCCGATGTTCTTCTTCCTCTTCAAAAAGAAGAGAAAACGGCAGAGAGGTGACGTACGCAATAAGCCGGATCCCAACCTCCTGATAGAACACCTCCAGCACCTCCTTGCTCGTGCTCCCCTTCAACAGCCTACAATGCATCTCCAGGCACCTGATCGCCTCTGCGCAGCCCCGCGTCGGCCCGAGGTCCAGCGGCCCATCCTCAGGGTAGTACTCCCGTGCGCCCGTCAGCGTCAGGATGATATGCTCGACCTGCGAAACAAATGTCAGAGATACTCAGGGCTTCGCAGCATCCAGAACCAGAAGATGAAATGAAGGGTCGCGGGGTCGGGGTCGGGAACGCGTACCTGATTCATGAGAACCTCGGTACCGGCATTCAGCCCTCCCGCAACTGAATCGTCCAACGCATTCTCAAAGCGCTTCTTCTCACGCACCACTGCGTTTAGAAAGTCGGTCCGGTCGATGTGATGTGCCTATGCTATGATCAGTAAGGCTGTGCGCGCAATAATAGAAAGAAAGAGTCGAAACGTAGAACATGGATAGGGCGGGAGGAGATAACATGAGAGAGAAGAAAGGAAAGAAACACGCACGAGCTCCTTGTCGAAATACACCTGCACCATACTCTGAATCGTGTCCCCAACATGCACGAGCTCAAAGAACTGCAACAGCGGCGCTACACTCGTCGTACCCTTATGTTCCGCAGGCTTATACTCAAGCATCTGTTCCGTCGCCCTGCAAAAATAATCACAATCGAAGTCAATACAAAGACGAACCCCAAACCCCAAGAAACGAGCGAAAGTGAGAAAGTCGTGCTAAAGATTGGTAACAACACCCTGGAAACGACCAAGGTTCCTAAACCCCAAGTCGAAGCAGGAAGAAAAAAGAATGGTGAGCCGAAGCCCAAACCACCCTATCCATTCAACCCAACCCAACCGCCCCCCCCAACACTCCTCAAGATCCTCCGAAACAAAGAAGACAAAAAACACAAAGACCCACCTCCCAAACCCCCCCCT